GGACCTCCCCTGAGGCCGAGTCCACCGCCACCAGCGCGCCCTCGTCGGAGCTGAGACTCAGCAGCGCCCCGCCCCCGCCCCACGCCACGAGGCCGTGCGCCTTGAGGCCGACGCCCGACACAAACAGGTCGGGGCTGGGCGGGTCCGCGTCCAGGTCGACACGCACTATGTCACTCTGGTGGATTTGGATCGAGATTGAGGGGTCTTTCTGTCTGGGAGCACAATTTTTTTGGGGTGCATAGGCTTGTATTGAGGGAGACCACAGCCCTAACCTGCATCAGGTGACAAAGACGCCGCACGCATCGAAGCTGTCGTCCAGCAGCTGTGCCTGCGTGCGGCTGGCAGGCCGCCATCTCACAACCGGCGGCCGCACCTGTCCAAGGTTGTGCAGCACCGCCCACAGCGCGCCGTCCGCCAGCGGCGCCAGCGTGTTGGGGTGCTCACTGGGCGTGAACAGCTCCATCCGCCTGACCTGATCACGACCAACAGGCAGAGCAAGAGGGGGTGCGGAGATCGCAAAGCGCGGGCGGGGGTGTTTCATGCTTCACCTTGCTTCGAGGGAAGTCGCAGGAGTTTGTCGGCCGTTCTCGCTGCACCAGTGATTGGCTGTGGATTTGCAGCGAGCTTCGAGCTGCTGTATGTCCACACGGCCACGCCAGACACCACAGGCTTGCTGTCTACTTGCAACCACAGCCCCCACTGCGATAAAACGACTTGCTCCAAGGAAACTGCCGCTGCCGCCTGCTGCATGCGCCCACCAGTGCCATCTCTGGATAGGACAGCTCGAGCACGGCCCCGTCCCCCGTGCTGCACACGTACACGCGGTCCCCGCGCCGCACGGCGTCGTGCGCAAAGCGCGAGGGGATGCGTACGCGACGCAGCTCGGCGCCTGGTGCGTGTGGTATTGCAAGATGATTGTGTTCGCGCCGCGTGCGAAGTTTTTGAATTTGAATTCAACAGCCCAGACTGGGCTTGCAGCTGCGCCGTGCAGGTGAGCAGGAGGCTGGCTCAGCCCCAAGGCATGTGCATGCTGCCGTCCGTCCTGGTGGTGGTGCCGTGACGTCAGCGTGACGTCATCAACAAACGCACCCGTGCCCGCGTCAAACTCCACCAGGTGCTCCTCGCTGGTGGCGGGCCGCCAGTTGTGCGGCCGCACGACAGACCACACGCTGCCAGTGTCATCGCGACTTCTATTGCCGCCGCCGTTGCCGCCCCTGCCGGGGCTTTGGCCTGGGAACACGCCATAATGAACCCCCTGCAAAAAAGATGGCGATGGCAGCGTGCGTCGAACGGTGGGCGCGGCCAGCGCTTTTGCGAAGCCTTGGCTAACCCCCTTTCTCTAGCACGGCGGAACAAGGCTGTCGGTGGCGCCGCGGCGAATGAGAGCGTGTGTGGGCATCACAGCGGGAGGCGCAGCCGCGCACCTCTCCGCGGTGCAGCACTCTCAGTTCGTTGGAATCTATTAGATACCTGCCACGTGCAAGGTGTTGTTGTGAGGGTGTTTGTTTTAGTGTGTATGGGTGAGATTTATTAGGCGGGTTTCAAGGGAGGGAAGGGCGGTGTGGTCAGGCCGTGCTCGCCGCAAACCACGCGCAGACGTGTGCAATGCAAGGGGGGCCTCGCCTCGGAACGCATAAGGCCTAACAATGCCAGCAGGCGCGGCGGCAGGCCCCGGCCAGGGGGGGGAGAGTTTGTGTGGATCCGCGCTGCGTCTGGTTGTTTGCCCCACCAGGCGAGAAGGTTGTGGGTCGCAAGCAGCAGCCGCCTCGCCGGCAGGGCCGGCGGCACCGCGGCGGCGTCCAACGCGTGCGGCGCCGCCGCCGGCAGCAGCAGCAGCGACGGGGCCGGTGCCGGTGGCTGGGCGGGCAGCGTATGCGCCATTCTAGCCATCGACCAGATTGTCAGTGTGCTGAGTGCGACCCCCAGCAACATGAATAGCAGCAGTGTCTTGCGCGGCGCTAACCGCCGGGGCCGGCCGCTCGTCATGGTGGTTGGCTTGTTCAGAGGCTGGACACTCGTGCTCTTGGCGGCCGTGGCGGTCGCTTTCACGACTGGGTACACTACCGCATCTAGCTCGTGCCAAACTGACGACGGGTCCGCGACGTCGAGTCGGGTGGCGCCACCGGCACCGTTGCCGCCATATGTCCACATGCCCCACAGCCACAGATCGACTTGTCATGAGGCACCGTGGCGATGAGATGTGAGTGTGCGGTGTCATCGTTTAAAACCAGCTCGTTCGGATCAACGAGACAGGACCGTGGCGATCCGAGGCAGCTCCGCGTCTCAATCACAAAATACTTGGTAATAATCTTAGATTTGATATGATGTCTGTTTACAGGCAGGACGCCGATCAAAATCGTGTAACCCGTGGTGTGTCACCGTAGATCACCATGTCGGCGGCATCGGGATCCAAAGCAGTTAAAATCATGACCGATTCTTCCTGACTAGTTACTCGCGCTCCAAGAAGCTTTGACTGATCTGCTTTCATCATGCCGAAACACAAGTTGAAAGGGCCCCTGACGCTCAACGGCGCGCCATTGACTCTCAAGTTGAACCCAGAAGGATCTATCCGTCTGCTGGTTGTCGCGCGTGCACCGGGCGAGGCGCCCGGCCAGCCAGCGGACCTGCAACTGTATGCAGCAGCAGACGAAGCTGCTGGCGCAGATGAGGAGGCGGGGCAGCAGGTTATGCTGCAGCTGGCGCCGCGATCTGACTGCATTGTTGTGGCAAGGTGAACGCACACCTCTTGAAGGTCCGGCGGTTGGCGCCACCAGCGTTGGCGTGCGCTTTGACATGCGCCCTAACCCGGCACCGGGCATGGTCAAACGGTGGCTGCCTGCACTCGCCCGGCTTCGCCCCAGGCACCGCTCCAAGCTTGATGAAGCAGCGCCTCTGCCACCTGCGGCCTCCTCCTCATCCCCTCCCCTGGCCGGCGAGATTGTGTTGGACCAGGTTGGTGGTTTCTGGACGCTGCTGCCCACGCCTCTCATCTTTCGCTTGCTGCTGCCTGCGTCTCTCATGTTGCGCTCACTTGACTTCCTCGCCTCTGGCAGGCCAGGGCTGCCAGTCTTGATCATGCGCCTCTCTGCGTGCCGCATACCTGCCGCGTACCTCCCCTTGCCTCCCGCTGACCAGCTGGCTGCCCGGCCGCTGGCACCCCACCCCGCGCTGGCCTCTTGGTGGCCGCGGCCTCATGCCTGCGTTCTAACCCGTGGCCCCTCCGCAGGTACAGCGCCACAACCTGCGGCTGCTGGCAGGGGAGGCCTACGACTTCGCACCCTTCACGCCCCCCGACGAGGGCGAAGGTGCCGCGGGCGTGCAGGGAGACGCCGGCAATGAGGCCAATGGTAGCGGCGACGAGGGCGGCGGCGGGCCGTTTGATCTGGTGGATGTTGATCTAGAGGTCCGGCTGGCAGACGCGGCGCTGTTTGGCGGCGGCGGCGGCGGCGGCGGCTCTGCGGCTGGTGGCGACGAGGGCAGCGCCGGCAAGCAGGCTGGCGGTAGTGGTGGCGCGGTGGAGTTGGATGCGGCCGAGGTGGCGCGCGCGTTTGGGCGTGCGTACTTTGGCCGCGTGGTGTGCGTCAACGAGGTGATTGGGAGTGGACAGATTACAGGCAGATGATACCAGGGCGTGGTCAGCCGCGTGGCGTCGCGGCGGTGTTGTTGCTGCCGGCAGCCGGCCCTTCAGGATGCCCCATGTGCTGCGAGGCTGCATCACACGTCTCACTACCCCAATCCCCAAACGCGCCGGCCCCGGCGCGCCGTCCACATGGCAACGCTCCCGCCTTTTCCCCCACCCGCCGGCCCGCAGTACCTGATCGTGCGTGCCGCCGGCCGCCTGCTGCTGCTGCGGGTCACCGGCTGCAACAGCCTCACCCCGGAGGAGCAGGAGGAGGCGGCCGCGTACCACTGCTACCGCGGCCGCCTGACCCCTGAGACGGCGGTGTACCTTTCAGAGGCGCCGGGCGGCCTGGGCGGCAGCAGCGGTGACAGGGACACCCGCGGCGGTGGTGGGGCCGGAGCGAGCGGCAGGAGCAGGGGAGGGGAGGAGCTCGAGAATGCAGCTGCAGCGGAGGGGACGCAGGAGGACAGCGGAGGGGGCGAGGATAGTGATGAGGAGAGCGGAAGCGAAGAGGCAGGGGAGGGTGGCGAGTGGTTGGAAACGGAAGGCGGGCAGGCGCGGCCGCGGGCGCAGACGCGCGTATTCAGCGGCGCACGGCTCAGGCTCAAAAATGTGCAGGCGCGCGAGGAGCGGCCGCCGCCCACCAACGTGGTCCACATCACCACGCGCGACGGCGAATGGTGGGCTCCTGACCAGCTGCAGGGCGGGCGCATGGAGTCGCTGGTTGGGGCGCGCCCCATGGCTGGAAAGCGCTGCTGGGACATAATTGCAGCAATTTGTTTGAAGGTCAAACGCGAAGAAAGGTCCACAGCAACCTGCCTGCGTGGCTGGGTCAACCCGGCCAAAACCGGCACAAACCAGCCAGCCATGCTGCTCAGGGCACCCCACGCAATCTCCGCTGCCTGCCACAACCCGCAGGTTCCCAGTCAAAAAGAAGCTGCTGCGGCCCTGCATCGCCCTCACAGCCGTGGTGCGCGACTCTGGGAGCAGCGCGCCCAGCGTGACAGTCGACGTCGACACCCTCACGTGAGAGCGGCGCGCGGCGAGCCCCCGCGGCGGCCAACCTTCGCTGCCTTGCAGCATCAGGCGGCCAGATCACGTTGACCGCGTTTGACCGCCGCCCCCGGGCGCCAAGGGCAGTGTGGACCGCACCTTGCACTGGTCACGCAGAAGTGGAAGGTTGCTCGCACGCCCACGCGTTGCCGGCTCCATGGCGATGTTCGTCGCACGGTCTCGCGCCGCGTTTGACCGCCGTCCCTCTGCAGGTTTGACCGCGTGCTCATCTTCCTGGAGGCCCTCGCCATGGGGCGGCCGCCGCCAGAGTTTGCGCTGCACCTGGTGGACGACCTCTTGGAGGCACGTTTGTTACTCTATGTTCTATGTTCAACGGATCATATCAATGTGCTCTTGGATTTCTCGTGTGTACCGTTGTCATGCGATCATTGTAGCGGCGGAGCTGCATGATTGTCTGCCCACGCAAAACGGGCGCTTGCGCGGCCTGCACTGCTCGTGTGGGGCTGAGCCAGGGGGCGCGCCCTGCCCTCAATCCGCGGGCCCTGCTGTCTCGTGCACGTTCTGTTGGGCCGCAGGCGGCGTCAGTGCTGGGGCTGCGGGCGCTGGAGCAGCACTGCAGCCGGCGGCTGGGGCAGCGGCTGGCGGCGCTTGGCACGTACACTGCGGTGCGTGTGCAATTCACTCGCCAGTGCGTTCCGCCCTCCTACCAGGCCCGGTGTGCAACATCCGGTTGGTGCCAAAACTTGCAAGGACCTTCTCGCCATACCAGCCATCCCGTGATCGCCAACCCCCTGACGCCTCTGCCATCATCGCATGTTTGAGCGCGTGCACACACGCGCCATGCAAGCCCCCTCCTGCACCCCGCCCCCGATCACCGCAGCCGCGGCCGCTGCTCCCACGTCTCAACCCCAACCCCAACGCAATCCGTTGACTTTGCAGGCGGACATCAGACGTGCCACACAGGAGGGCAAGGTGTGGCTGGTGATCCAGGGGATGGTGCTGGATGTGGGCAGGTGGCTGCCGCAGCACCCGGGGGGCAGCACCATCATCCCCAGGCAGGCGCTGGACTGCGACTGCTCCAGGCTGTTCGAGGTGGGGGATAGGGGGCAGTGGGGGCAGGAGGGGCGCGCGCTCGAGTCAATGCACACCGTGCGGCTGCGATGCGCCGTGCCCGCATGCTTATTCTCACAATGTGGCCATACCTTCTTGCCTGCTACCTCAGCCGCCCTGTCTATGAGCCGCGCTTCTATTGAAACCTCGCCGCCGCTCTTGCTCCCCTTCCTCCGCTCGCGCCCGCCCGCCCGGCAACCCGCCCGCCGCCCATCCGCCCGCCTGCCCTCCGCCGTCCTGCTCCGCACCGCAGCTGTACCACGCCAGCCGCGAGAGCTTCCTGTACCTTCGGGAGTTTTACATAGGGGAGCTGCTGCCGGGCGAGGAGCTGCCCCAGGGCGGCGGCAACCCCGCGCCGCCGTCGGAGGACTTTTTGGAGCAGCTGCGGGCGTACACGTCTGAGTTCAGGATGCCGGCGGCCCAGCTGCCCGAGGGGCGCGCGTTTAAGAGCTTCTGATGCGCGCTGATCTGGCAGGATTCGCGCCGTGGGTGTAACACCCTGCGAGACTCAAGGCGAGGATGCAAAGGCACAGGCGGTGTGGGTGCGCTTAAGGGGAAAGATGCAGCAACAGCGCCTGGTGCGTTTTGCGTAGCCTGGCCAGGTTGGATTGATCGGTCAACGATGAGTCAAGCTGCGACCTGGACCAAGCTGTGGAACGCGCCCAACCTAACACAGTCTGTCATGGTCAGCCGCTCTATTATGTGTGCACATAGAGTTTGTAAGACCGCGACACCCTGCGCTTTGCTCATTCACCGAGTCCTCAATCGCAGTTCGCTAACTATCAGCGTAGGCAGCTCTGCTTCGAGAACGGTGCCCTGAAAATTTGAAGCTTACGTTACGCAGATGCTGCGCCTTGAGTGACGCAGCAGCGGAGCGCCGGGGCTCGCTGCATCAACGCGCTTCAGCGCAGGCTGCCCGCTTGAGCGCGCATCCCGATCCGCGCGAGCGCTGCGCGCGTTGCCCTGCAGCGCACCGCTCCGCCTGCGATGGCCCGCGGGCCACGCCTAAGCACAGCCAGCCATACCGCCCGCTGACTGCGCACGCGCAGCGGCGATGTGCGCCGCCGCCGCGGCTGCGGCGGGCCCGACGCAGGGCGCCACTTTCGCGCGCCAGCAGCGGCTGGTGGACCTCTTCTCGCAGATCATCGACAGCACACAAGTCACCAGCGCGGCCACCACCGGCGATGGCGTACAAGGCGGCGCCGCAGGGCCGACCCGCGAAGCCGCGCTGCCGGACAGCAATTGCGCGGCCATGGCGGCGGGTGATGCGTCGCCAGGGGGACGTGGCGCGGCCTGCACGGGCGGCACTGCGCCACGCCTCGCCGGCGCCGGAGCTGATGGGTACCCCGCCGTGAGCATGGATCTTGTCACTGGTGAATATCCTGAGGAGGGCGGTGGTTATGGCGACGGCAGAGCCACGGCGGGGCGCGCCCTGAAAGCAGAGGACGGCGGAGGTGTGGCGTGCGCGTGCGGTCGCGCGCCCCTTCCCGCCAGCGACAGCGACGGGAGCATCCTCTCTGTCAGCATGGAGATTGACGACTCAGATGATTGCGGAGAGTGTGAACCCTGCAGCGGCGGCGCCGCCCACCCAGCGAGCCGCCTCTGGGGGCCGGGTGCAGCGCCGACAGAGTGCGGCGGCCGCAAATGTGGCAGCTCTCAGGAAGCTACCGCGCAGCTCCAGACGAGCAGCGACACGGGCGCCGACAGCGACACCCCACGCCCCCGCCGCGCCGGCGCCGGCGGCCGCCCCGCGGCCGGCATGGCCGTCGCCGCCCCTGATGGCTGCGGCGAACTGGAGGTGAACAGCGGCCGCGGCGGCGCCCGCCACGGCGCGCCAGCTTGCGGGGCGCCGCGCGGCGGCCGCGTTGGCCCTGCTGCCGGCACACGCCTGGCGGTGCTCGGAGGGCTCGCCGCCGTTCAAGGGCAGGGCGGGCTGCATGGCATGTTGAGGCACGAGCCACTTGTTGACAAGGGGCGCGTTGCGGCCGCAGCAGCGCAGCATTTGACGCGGGTGCGGCGCGGCGAGCGTAGAGGGGTGCTGCCTTGTTTACCGGGGAGCGCGTCTAGGGGTCTAGCACGGGGTGGGGCCGCTTTCCCTGCCTGCAAGGGCAAGCTCAGCGAGACATTCAGGGCAATCTGTACTGCAGCGCTGCTCCTCCCGCCGTAACCCCGTCGACTGACTGTTGCTGCGCTCTCGAGTGTTGGGGTCAACCTTGCACGGTGGATCCACAATTTGCACACTGCCCAAACGCACGTGTGTACACGTGTGCTCAGCATAAGCGCTCTGGCTCTCTCTGCCTCTCTTTCACACCCTCAGGAGCATGCACACACACGCGCGCGCACACACACACACACACACACACACACTAGAGCACACATCCATTCTCTCTCCTCTGCCGCACACACTTTTGTCACACACAAAGGCACTCTTCAACTTACACACGCACACATGCCCACGTGCACACCGCAGTCCATGGTTGACGACGCGATGCGCCAGCTGTGCTCCATGTTCCCGAAAGAGCTCGGCGGCGACGAGGCTGCAAAGCGCCTGGTGAAGCAGCTCGCCAGTGCGGCGGAGATGAAGCAGGGGGATGCCGAATGCGAAAAGTCGACCGCTGGGCTGCTGCTAGAGCTGTGGAGCAGGGCGTTCCCTCCTGAGCAGCCGTCCACATGCGCTAGTGCCGCGGCGGCGCTCGACGCGTTGCCGGCGGGCGTCCGCGGCGCGCTGCTGCGGGCCGCGACTGCCGCGGCAGCAGCCGCGCTGCCGGGCGGCGCGGCCGCGCTGCGTGGGCTGCTGGAGGCGGCGGCGCCCGCGGCGCTGCAGGACGGCGGGTGGACGGTCTCGTTTGGGGACGCGTTGGCAGGTAGGGTGTGTGTGTATGTGTGTCATCACTCTTGAGGGCGGCCGGTTGGTGGATAGGAGGGGGTCGAAGGCTTGACGCAACATCAGCATCGGATTGCCGCTGCTGCCAGTGTCCCATCAACCTGGTGTTGACTTGGCATGCGCGTGTCGACTGAAACGTGCCCAGTCAGCATTAACTCGGCAGCTACTGCCGCGACGAACCCTCATCCTGCTCATCGCCCACCACCGCCGCCACCACCACGACTCGTCGCAGCGCTGCGAGCGCTGGAGCGGGCGGGTTGGTCCTGGAACCGCCTGAGTGAGTCGACGCCGGCGCTCCTCGCCGCCCTCCGCGACGGCTGCGGCCATGCGGGCCCCGACGGCGCCGCAGCCGCACTGGGGGTGCTGGCGCGGGCGGGGGCAGGCTGGGGGGATGCAGACCTGCGCGCGGCGGCGCGGCCGCTGCTCGCCGCGCTGCGGGGCGCCGTAGCTTCCGCCTCCCAAGCGGCACTTGTGGAGGGGATCTGGGCGATGGCCTCTTTCGGGGGCCGAGCGGCGTGGGCGCAGCGCGAGACCGCTGACGTGGCGGCGCTGCTGGCGGCGCTGAGGGGCACGCTGATCTACGTGCCGCCGCGCTACGACCGCGGCGGCGACGACCGCGGCGTCGCATGGGGCGGCCAGGGCGGGGGCGACGGCCCCCTCACCGCGCGCCAGGTCGCGCGCGCCGTGTGGGCGGCTGGCAAGCTGGACGCCGACCTGGCACCGCTGCAGCTCGCGGCGCTGCTGGCGCCGCTGCGGCGCACGCAGCTCGCGGCGCGCGCGCGGTTGAGCGCAGAGGAACTGACGGGGGTTATCGTCGCCTGCTCCAAGGTCACAGGCCCGCAGCTCGAGCTGGTCGCGTTGCGGCGCGAGGCGCTGAACCTCGTCGTCGTCGCCGGGGACGCGGCCGCGTTCCGAGGTTACCCAGATCACGCGGCAGACGCACTGCACGCGATCGGCATGCTGGGCGTGCTCCCGCGGCGCTTTGTGCTTGAACTGCTGGACGGGTTGATGGCGGACGGCGCGAGCCCCGGGGATGGCGCCGCTCCAGGGGTGGCGGCGGAATCAGGCTCAGCGGCGGGGCCGTCCGCAGCGCTGCCGCGCCTGACGCCCCGGCAGCTTGAACTGGCGGCCGCGGCGGCCGCGATGCTGCTGCTCCCGCGGGAGGCGCGCGCCCCTGTGGAGCGCCTGGTGCGGGAGCTGCGCTCGCGGCTGCCACCGGACGCAGCTGGCGGCTGCTGGCGCGAGAGGGAGGTGAGGTTTTAGGTCGCTTCAGCAGATGTCAGGTCGCTCTTTGGTCCAGGAAGAATACACACACACACACACACACACACACACACACACGCACACACGCACACACACACACAGTCACACACGCACGCACGCACACACACACACACGCGTGCACACACACACACACACACGCACAGTCATACACGCACGCACACACACACACAGTCACACACGCACGCGCACACACACACAGACGCGCGCGCACACACACACAGAGCACCCTGATGCCCTGCAGGACAGCAAGCAGTCATCGTTCCAAAGCCGCCCGCTCAGCGGGCACCACACCACCTCCGACTTGCACTGTCGCCGCGCGCTCACGACCGCGCCCCCGCTCGGTCCTTGTACAACTGCGCCACCCCGCAGGGCCCTGGAAACGACGGCCCCCGCGTCACCGCAGTGGAGGCGATCGTGGCAGCTTGGGCGGCCTCCACCGCAGACCAGCGCCAGCTGGCCGATGACGTCACCGTGATGTGCGCGCACGCCGCGCGCTGCGGCCCATGGCGGACGCTGAAGCCGTCCATGCTGTCTCAGGTGGGGGGCTTGGGCGCAGGGGGGCGTGCCGCAAGCCCCGTGGACTTTCCACGCGAAACCACCCTTGATGCAATCGGCTAGTTTTGAAGCATGAAAACTCATGCTTTTATATTTTTTGCCCACTGTGGGTGCGGCCCCCGGTCAGGTGTGGCAAGTGCACATGTGGCTCGTGGACGTCCGCGCTCAGCAGGCCGCCGTAGGCGCCGCCGCCAGCCCTGACGCCGCCGCGCCCTCCGCCGGCGGCCTGCACGGCGCCCTGGCGCCCGCCGCCCTGCAAGCCTGCCGGCAGGCGTGGCTCGAGGGCGCGCGCGACGCAACGACGTCATACCTTCAGCTGCAGGTCTTCGATTTGCTGAAATCCATGACTGACGTCGTCACAGCCTGCCAGCTGGAGGCGCCCATGGGCGCCGGCGGGTATCGCTCCGTCGACATAGCCGCGACGCACCGCAAGACGGGGCGGCGCGTGGCAATTGAGGTCGACGGCCCCTCCCACTGGCTGTGCGCGTGCAGCACGAAGAGCAATAAACACGCGTCCGCAACGATGACGGACAATTGGCTGGCGCGCGGGGAGACGGCGGCGCGGGACAGGGCGCTGGCGGCTGCAGGGTGTGCCGTGGTCAGCGTGCCGTTTTGGTCGTGGAACGCCTGCGGACAGACCAAGGCGGGCAAGAAGCAAGTGGCTGCCCAGGCTGCAAAGCGGCGGCGGCTGGAGCTGAACACTCAGCAGCGGGTGCCGCGTCGGCAGCAGGAGGAGCCGGAGCAGCAGCAGCAGCAGCAGCAGCAGCAGCAGCAGCAGCAGCAGCAGCAGCAGCAGCACCAGCAGTTGCTGACGCAGGAGCAGCCAAGGAAGCTGACTAAGGGGCAGAGGAAGCTGGCAACGCTCCAGAAGCTGACTACGGAGGAGGCTCACAGGAAGTACGAAGCCTTCATCAAGAAGCAGAAGCAGGCCAGGCTGAAGGTGAATCAGAGGAAGCTGCTCAAACAGCTGATCGAGGCGGCAGTTCAGGGGATACCAGCCGCGGCGGCGCCGCATGCGGTTGTGAAAGCAGCGGCCAAAGCAGCAGTTGCGAAAGCAGCGGCGGTAGTGGTGGCGCCCGCGACCGTGGCTGCGGCTTCACCCGCGCAGGCCGCGCCAGGGACGGCTCCTGTGCTGCCAGCGGCGGCGCCGCCTCTGTTGGTCATCGGACAGCCTCTCGTCGCTGTGGGTGCCAAGCGGCTGCGGCCAGAGGAGCCGCCTCCATCCTCTGGGGCCGAACCAGCTCGGGCTGTGTGGCCGCCGCCGGCAAAGTCGGACGAGGAGGAGCAGCGTGCCCCAAAGCGTGCGCGGCTTGAGCAGCAACAACCGGCGCTGCCGCCCCTGCCGCTGCCACAGCAGCAGCAGCAGCAGCAGCAGCAGCAGCAGCAGCAGCAGCAGCAGCAGCAGCAGCTAGATCAGCAGCAGCAGCAGCAGCAGCAGCCAGAGCAGCAGCACCCTCCACCAGAGGCATCGCCACTCAACCTAGGGCGTCAGGCGGTCCTACTGGTGCATTCAGCCGGTCCGCGTCCGTGGCTGCAGACGCCCCCAGCCCAGCAGCTGGTTCAGCCACCCGGGCAATAGGAACACGGGGTCAGCGACCCGGACACAGCAGCAGCGGCACGACAGCAGCACCACTACCATCTTTCTCAGCCATAGCAGCAGTGCGTAAGCTTGGCGGCGTTGGACTTGCGGCTGCCCGCGCTTGCCGCCACAGCAGGCCTTACTGCCGCAGCAGGAGGTGCTACTCCTGAGCAGCACCTGTATCCGGTAAGAACGAGAGAATCAAGGCGGACTTTGAACGGAGATGACCAGCACGTGCCAGCTTGGGGTGTTGGCGCCCCGCCCGGCTTGACCGCCCACGTCGCAGCAGACTCTCTTGCTTCCCGACTGATGAGCGGAGGCGGTTGGGGTCCTCGTGGCATTGACTAAGCTGCAGGGCGCTCTTCCAGCGGGCGCCGTTAGGGTGGCTGTCGGCGCCCTCGCAGATGCCTGTGCCTGCGATGAAGCCGCCTGTGTGTTGAATCTGAAGCAGCAGCAGCAGCAGCAGCAGCAGCAGCCGCAACAGCAACGGCAGCACCAATGGGTGACGCGCCGAAAACGTCCGAGCGTTCAAGCGCCCGACACACATGATTTGGGTTTGGGCTGGGCCACCGGCCGTGGCGGTATGAAGGGGGCTGAGTTTTCTGCATCCTCCTGGCAACAAGTGAACTGCAAAATGTTCACTTGGCATCCGAAGGATTTCATTTGACTGCTACAACCATGAGGCACATGAATATCGACTTCTCCAGGCCAAGTTCCTCTCTATCGCACGTCTTGTAACAAGCCTTTTGCATGCCGTCCGTGGGGTTCTACCCCATACGCGTGCAACAGCTGCACCCAGCCATGCACAAACCATCGCGCAGCACCTTCCTCTTTGCCACGCGTGATAAGGTTTGCTTGCAAGTGGAGGGGAAGCACGGCACAGGTGTCCACAACAAGTGCAGCACCAGAGCACATCAACACAATCAGCCCAAGCACCATGCTATAAT